AACCTGCTGGCCAGTAAGTGTGGTTGATTATACTGGCAACTGAAACGCATGCTGGTTTCAAATAAATAAGGATGTCTTCATGACTAAGATAACCTTGGAAATTGTTGGCTTGACTTCTTGAGTGTTCCACAACAGGCTTTGTTCATGTACTGAGTGCTTGTTGTTGTCCTGCATGTTTGTGTATATGTATAGGGGCGTGTCCTGTTGTTCTTTTGATTGAGATGGAAGATCTATTTCCTTGAAGTGCAGACAGGGCTATAGCATGGATCTGGGGAGGAGGTGGAAGGAGTAAGGAAGGAAAAGGAGGAAGAATCAGGCCCAATTTTGCCCAGCACCCAAGTTGTGCTCGGAGTTCAAGGATTATTGAGGTGCTTTCATAGACATATTTGGGGAGAAAAAGCAGGAACACACATGTGACGTTTCAGTTTGGTCACTCTGCCATACCTTATCTTCTAGAAATGCTTCCCTCCCCGCCTCTCACAGTGTTTTTATCATGAAGATCCACTGGTGATTAAGTTTGTACTAGTTCTTCTGATAGGCATCTTTAAATATAGTTATATATAGTTGACAGGTTCAGAAATGCAATTTTCACATCTTTGTCAAATACGTTTTAAGGGTATTGCAAGAGACTTTCCCTTCTGATAACTTTACTGTGTTGCTCATCAGGAATATGAATCTCTCCAGTCAAACCAATGAATTAGGTGGCTGGGAAAGTATTTATAATAACAATTACCTCAGCACACTGACTAGAGGAATAATAGATCTTGATGACTGGACCACCATTATTAATCTGTCATGATGATGAAGTATGTCCTAAATTCAAAGATAATGAATTCGATGGAAATGAAAATTTTTATATTATCTTCTCCATTTTTTAAGAGGGGAAAAAAAAAAAGCAAGTTGAAAGGTCCTTTTGCTTAATTGCAAAGCAGCTATATAGAATATGCTTCCACCTATCCAATTTATTAGTAGACCCAGTAAACAGGGAGCAAAATCTAAAATTTGAGATCTACAAAATCTAAAAATGAGATTTGGGCTGCACTAAGTTAAAAGGCATAAATGGGTATGTGAAGTAGGTAAGTTGATCATATGTTAGCCTTGTTACAGGTTGTAAATTAGATTTAATGGCTTCTTTTTCAGCATTGATGAATTGTTTTATTTCCTCCTCACCCCCTGACTTACCAAAAACTCCTGTTTATTTTAATTTCCATAGTTTTGTTCACTATTTCTTGGTTATTCAGCACCTTCATTAAAATGCCCGGCACAAAAGGCTCTGTTTATATTTGATCTTTGATGGAATTTGCATGCCTTCTTACATTCATTTTTAACATACTGCAGTCTGCCAGGAAAAGAGGACTTGCAGACAATCAAGGGTCAGAATTATCTCTGAAAGAGAGCTCTTTAAGATGTATCATCTGTGTTCTGCGTCATACTCCTTTCTTTCACCTCTGTTGAAATAGCTGCCTTTTTTTTTTTTTTTAATGATTACAACAAAAATAAGGGTCAGTTTGTTTTCCTGTCCCTTAGTTATGAGTCGATTAAGGTCACTGGGTAAAGGACACTTTCAGGCAATGTGTCCCAACTGAATTTCAGGTTACAAGTAATCTTACATATTTTTTTCTTTTTTTTTTTTTTTTTTTCCAGTCTGTTTCCAGGCTGCAGTGAAGTTAACATTATAGCTCTGTTATATGGTGCCAACAAACTTGTGTAGCTGTTATTTTTTAGCACAGTGGCACTGAGTAATGTTTGGAGTCATGTTCTGGTCTGGAACTTGATTAACTGCTTTAAATGTCTTAAGTTTAGCAACAAAAAATTAGTAAGAAATATATATATAGCATTTAAATGCCTACAGTTTAAGATACTTACAGTAGTCTGTGGGGAAAACTAGAGATTTGAGTTGAAATTTCAGTTTGCTTCGAAGGCTGCGTTCTCTCATATATTCTAATAAGAAAAGAACTTGTTTGATGGTGTTTTGGAATCTTGCCCTGTTACCCAAAGGTATATCTTAAGTAACTAAAGTAAGCAATCTTGCTACAGGTTACGTTTGCTTTCTCCTCTGTTTAAAAAGTTTCCTTTAACTTAAATACCTTGTAAACAAATATGCTTAAACCAAGGATTATCACACAGCAAGGTGGTTGGATGAAAATATCCTCTTAAAGCATCTCTGCCTTAAGATGATAAGTCCTTGGAGGAACATATTTAAAAATAGTTCTAAGTTAAAGTTTCTGTTTGTAGAAAGTGTGGGAGTGGTTCAACAGGAAAATAG